TGCAAGCTCCTGGGAGAGTGCCAAATTGGATAAATAAATGAGTGAAAAAATTAGAGAGCGTCATAAGCTTTGCCAATTCCATGTGGCAGATAGAGGAAATGATTACACCTCCCATTCCTCAGAAAACAACTTGAAACATCCAACTAGATATTTCTGTCTTCAGAGAGTCTTCTCTTTATGGTGTGCCTCAAGGAGACTCAACCAACTCTTTTTACTTACCTTTCTCCCAAGACAGTGCCCAGCTGCACTGGCTTCTCTCTTTCCCCATGGGCATCCTCACTCCTTTCATACACAGAGCTTTCTGATACCCATACTTGCCTACCCCAAACATCTTAATGTTCAACACAAGGAAGGACCTTCCAGTTAGTATGACCTAGAAGGCTGGGTAAGGACCAAGTTGGACACTTGAGCATACCCTTGGATTTTCTCTCTCCTCTCTCACCTCTTATGTTTCACCTCAGTCTTTTTTGTTTTTTTGCTGGGAAAGAGTTGCCCTGAGCTAACATCTGTTGCCAGTCTTCCTCTTTTTGTATGTGGTCTGCCACCACCACGTGGCCACTGACAGACAAGTGGTGTAAGTCCATGCCTGGGAACTGAACCTGGGTCACTGAAGTGGAGTGCACCGAACTTAACCACTAGGCCACCAGGGCTGGCCCTCACCTCAATCTTTTTTATCAACCTATTATGCCAAGATATGCAATGCTCTCCCCAAGAGGAATTCTTGTATCAGCTGCTAAAAGATTGCACTCATTCTTTTTCATCTAGTCAAATAACGTTGTGAAAGGTAAAGCAACAGCGGTTTATACTAATTTAATTTCGAGCAGCATGTGGAATGAAGGACTGACAGGCTCATAGTTCAGGCTCAGGTGATGACCCAATATGCCCGGTCAGCTTTCTCCTCAGAAGTAGAGTTGAACCTGAGCTTCAGGCTTTAAACAAGGGCTCAAAGGCAGGGTGCATGAGGAAACTATACAGTCAGAGATTGGTGAGTAATTTCTGAAAAAGACTCTAAAAGTTAGTGACGAGTAGTGAGAGCATTTACCAATATAAATGCTGCCCGTAATACACAGGCAGAGAGAACTGAGAGGCCTGAAAACAGTTGCAGAAAATCTAAAGGTCATCTCAGGCTGTGGATGTCATTTCAGCAGTCTGTTATCAGGGACAAGAATTCTGAAAAGAGCTGATCATCTTCATGAGTATATACTCTTTAGAATCCATGTAGTTCTGAAGTCCAGGTTATTCATAATTGTCCCCACCATTTGGTCATGTAAACTAGTGTCTTAGGCAATATACCCTTGTATACCCTTATCGTTGCCTTAATATTAATTGTCACATGTGTAAATGGAAGTCAACTTTGCTGGTAAACCATCTATAGTTGGTAAAATATCTTTATTAGATGCTGATCAGTAGAATATATGCTACATGAAGATGGGGAATTATTTTTATTTTCTTCTTTGCTGTATCCCCAGGTGCTAGAATAATGCCTAGCATGTAGTAGATACTCAGTAAGTATTTGTTCATTTAACAAATGAATCTTCCATTGATCAATCTGCCATTGGTTTAAAGTCCAAAATATACCTGTAAGAATTATAGATGATTTTAGTGGATATGGTATCAAGATTGTATAGCATGACTTCACCTCAGGGGATCTCCCTTGTCATCTTAAGGATTAGGTCTAAAGGCTGTTGGAAGATGATTGGCATAAGACAGTGAAATTTATGGTTGAAAAAAATCTCTTCAGAAACTTGTTAAGAGCTCTCTCAGGGGGTTCTCCGAAAAACTCAGAGCTGACATGGAATGTCATCTCATCCAGTCCAGTTCCCCTGAAGGACAGACGTTGATCTTTTGTTTAGAGAAAAAAAATATGGCAAGTTTGAACTTGTACTTGAACCTGGTGCCCTTGAACTGACTACACAACTACCGCTGTATCAGAAACAGAGGTTGGATGTGGTGTGGCAGATGGACACTGAAGCCCTGTCCTCGTGATTCTGGGGTGGTTTTCACCTCTTCCCAGCTACACGGCTTTGGGCAATTGCTGTCTTGAGCACACAATTCTCCAGTTCCTCTATTTGTAAACTATCAGCTCCCCCAAGGACGTTGTGCTGGAATGCCCACCTGTCTACTTTATGGGCTGCCTGGAAAGTCCAGATAAGATGTGTTTGAAGTACTTTGCTAGTTGAACAGTTTTACACAAATAAAAATGGACATTCTGGATACAGTTTAAGGAGAAATCAAGCAGAGACTATACAAAAAGTTATTCTAATTTTACAAAAATAATGTTGATTAATGAAACTGTGAACTTCTTAAAAAAAGAATAAGAATAAAGACACAAATTTATAGTGTCCTAAAATCAAGGGCAGCCACATCTCCCGCTGAGGAACCACACAAAAGAAGTCAGTTTCTGCTGAATCAGCCAAGACATGAGATATCGATAATCAAAACAATGCAAGCAATGCCATGTTTTAAATTTGATCCAGATTTGACATAACCATACACAAGAATGGCTTTACTGGAGTAAAATATATAGGGTCTTAAAGACGAAAACGAGATATTGGGAGCTATTTACTGTTGAGCTTTCAGCTACATCTCCTGAGGAATCACCAGAGCCATAAGGTGGGGAATGCAATAATTCTTCGGAGGCATTGCAGCTGCCGAAATGCAGACAGATGGAATTCCTGCACTCTCCAGTATAGTGCAGGAACAATCTCACAATAGGATAAACACCCATTCCTTGAAATTTCCTCTTAACCCTGGAGAGAAGACATTGTACAGACTGGCTGGTAAAATCTTAGTGTTTGGGATTTTCATTTTATATCTGGTTTCCTGTGTAGCATTTAGGAGCCTATCTCTGTGGCTATAGGACTGCAGTCCTGTGCCGAATCCTCTAAGGCTATACAAAACATAAACATGGTTCATATCTTGACAGTTGAAGTCCATAGATGTCGTTTATATTGATACTGAAATCTTAGTACCCCAGGCTTTGCTGTTGGCAACAAACAAAATGGAAAACCAGACTTTTGTCTGTGAAGACTGCACATGATGTGGTAGCATAAGAAACTTACCAGTTCAACTAGTACTTCATGTTCAGCAAATCAAAACTCTGATTTCCTTGATAGCATTGGAAAATAATTCATTCATTGCATTTTTTTCTTTGCTTTCTGGCCATATATTTTGCTCCATTGAGACGGATGTGCCGTCAAATATTGATTGCAAACCTCCTCAGTGCCAGCCACTCTGCTGGGGCCAGGCATGGGCTGCACTTTTCTGTATTTCAATCTCTGAGTTAAAACGTGCCATATTTGCTGGTTCCCTTTAGTTAGTCAACAGGGTTCGTCTCGTCAAGGAGTATGTGCTTTAGTGACATACAGCACTATGACAGTGTACAGGCAGCTGACCACACAACTGATCACAACAGCTTTTGTGGGGAGAGGGAGACAAAGAGAGACAGAGATGTCTTCAAAGGTTGTATTTATCTACTGTTGTTCTGAATTGGGAACTCATGAGAAAAGTTAGTTTTTTCCTGATTAAAAAAAAAGTAATACATGATCATTATAAGAACATCGCGAAATACAATGAAGTAACTAAAAATGACTTTTAATCCTAATCCCAGGGATAATCATTGTAACTTTTGATATGCTTCTTTCCAGGCCAAATTACATTGTGCTTTTTTAGAACCAAATGGTGTTTTTCCACTTAAATTATCTTGAACTTTTTCCCCGGACATCAAGTATTTTCTACAGTATATTTTTCGATGGCTGTAACGGTATTCCTTAGCATGGAGGTACCCAAATGTATTTAACTTGTCCGCTAGTAGTGCATATCTGTTATTTCACAGTTTCCTCATTATCAACCATGATGGTATGAATATCCCTAAAAATAAAAAGTTACACTTATTTATAATAATTTCCTTTTATGAAAGAAGAAATAAGATTGCTGGGTCAAAGGTTTTACACATTTAAAAGGCAGTTGATGCACATTACCAAATATTTAAGTGTATTTTAACACCCATTTTGTTGAACTGATTTATCCTTCTCTTTTTTTTCCTGAAGAAGATTAGCCCTGAGCTAAAATCTGTGCCAATCTTTCTCCACTTTATCTCCTGGTTGCTGCCTCAGCATGGCTGCTGAGTGGTGTAGGTCCTCGCTGGAGATCCAAACCCGAGAACTCAGGCCACCAAAGTGGAGAGCGCTGAACTTAACCACTATGCCAAGGGGCTGGTCCCTGAACTGATTTGTCCTTTCATTAATGGTTTCCCTGAAAAGCAATCTTTCTAGCTTTTTATCTTACTTTTATGGTCTATTGTAGTTGTGAAACAATTGAATATTTGTTGAATTTTGAGAAGAAAAAGAGCCCCATCTACTAAAAGCAAAAAATACCAAAAATGTAACTGTGTTAAGGAAAAGACAAGAATGAAAATATTATTAGCCAATGCTATTTCACATTTCTTATGCCATAATTGACTCTGGCATTTTTAGCTGGCATTTTTATTAAACAAGTAAAATACAGTTCAAATACAGGACATAGGGTCTCCATGCCTGTTTCAAGCACACATCAATTTATTCTTTTTATTGTAACTTTCTCTGTGCAACATTGAGTGGTTGTAGAAGGAGAGTTGGTTTTTTTTAACGTTTGTTCAGTTAATAACACTTCACTCTGAAATACTTTTCAGTTATTAAGAAAAATGCTCTCATTTGGTATTTTCCTCACATACATCGTGCAAGTGATGAGACTATTCTCTTGTGCTCTGAACAGGGGGCCTCTCACTCTGCAAGCCCACGGGTGGATTTTCTTTGCTTTTCTCAAGCGAACACTCTTTGTATTATTCTTTCACAGTTAATGGCCTAGAGGATCAAAGAAAAATTGGTGACAGTGAAACTGAGGGAATTTGGAAATGAGTCTGTTGAATAGCATGGGAAGGTGTTTTTCTGTTTGCTATCTGGCTCTCCTAATTTTAAGACAAAAAAACCCTTCTTCTGACATTGTTTCTGCCCTTTTTTTAGTGCTCTGCGGAGAAAGCGAGAGCTTTCTGTGTGCCAGTGGAATCTGCGTCCCCAGGAAACTGCAGTGTAACGGCTACAACGACTGTGACGACTGGAGTGATGAGGCTCATTGCAGTACGTGCCGGGCTGTGTGGGGTTGTCCTGGCGCACGGGGATCTATTCAGGGCCTGGAAACCAAAGCTGTTCTGCCGTCAAATCCTGACAACCGGCCGGCATTTGCGCAGATTACTTTCAGTTGGCCTTTCTAAGTGAGCAATTGTGTTCATCTTCCCCCGTGTGAGAGCAGTGTTTGCACACCTTTCAAAGGCGTGATTTCATTAGGAACTCAACAGCTAGATGCTGCCTTGGAACAGATCAGGGATTGGAGAGGTTTGGCATAAGGTGTCTGAAAGTTGGGAGAAGGCTTTTCGTTTATTTTGTTTGGATGAGGATTTTTGTTTTTGTTTTGAAAGCTTATGAGTAGAAAGGTCAACTTTTTAAAAAAAGGACATTTTTAATCGGAAAACTTTTCACCCTCATGATTCTTCACGGTCGTAACACAGCAGATGCAAAGCCTCCTGTTGGCCTACGCTTCCTCTAAATCTGGAGATAGTCGATGGCATGAACTGTTTTAAATTCATGGACCCGTAGATTCAGCCTTAAACATCCTCAATGTATTTGCCACTGATTTGATTAGCCATTTTGACTGAATGGGTTGATGGTTTGTCCAATACTATATTAGCCTGCTTGGGCTGCCATCCAAAATACCACAGACTGCATGATGTAAGAGGCAGAAATTTATTTTCTCATGGTTCTGAAGGCTGGAAAGTTCAAGATCAAGGTCCAACAGGGTTCACTTTCTGGTGAGAGTTCTCTTCCTGGCTTGTAAGCAGCTGCCACCTCCCTGTGTGCTCACTTGACCTCTTTGGAGGGAGAGAGACAGACAGACGGAGAGGGAGGAGGGGGAAGGGGGAGTGGGAGGGGGAAGGAGGGCAGGATCCCAGCCCTCTTGGGTTAGGGCTCCACTCTTGTGACCTCATTTAACCTCTTTCACCTCCTCACAGGCTCTGTCTCCAAATCCAGTTCAATGTTGGGGGTTAGAGCTTCAACATACGAATTTTGGGATGGCACAAACATTCAGTCTATAACAAATATATATTCAGATTTCAAGTTGCTTTGCACTTATGCAATAGATAAAAAAGAAAAATTAGCCTCAAGAATACGTTGCAGGATCTGCATCCAAAACAGAACTATATCCAATTGTGTTCTAATTGCTGTTGCACGGTTATATGACCAGCAGTAGTTACTATGGGAGAAACTGTTTTACATCATGCAGGAGTTGCCAATGCTTTATAAGAGCTCATGATTGCTGACCTCAGTTGAGAGCTTCCTCTGGTCTGTTTGCCAGGTGGACCCACTCTTCTTCCATCTGAAGGTCAGGATGCTTATTTGTCATAACTTTTGAAAGGCAGTATATTATGATAATATTTCAGGTCAATGTTTCCCAAACTGGTGTCTAGTACCTGAGTCTTGAAAAATGCTTGAGAAAAAAAAAAGTTTGAGAAATACTCTCTATCAGATCTACTTCTTAGAGAGTTACAACACATATTCATGCATTAAAGCTTCTGAGAAATCTTGCAGTGTAAAAAGAGACATTAATTTTGCTTAACTTGGCCTTTCCTCAAAATTATTTGTTTATATATACCCCCCACCTCCTTTCTTTCTCTCGCTCTTTCTTTCTTTCCTTCTTTTTCTTTCTTTCTTCCTTTCTCTTTCTTTTTCTTTCTTTCTTTTTTCCTTTCTTCCTTCCTTCCTCCCTTCCTTCCTTCCTTCCTTTCGTCTGTCTTTCTGTCTTTATTCATTCATGAGTTTATTTTTTTACATATCTAGCATCCTGTGGAACTTTAGTTACACCATGAATATTTTCAGAAATGTTTTTACTAATACATTTGTTCTTATAATTTGGAATACTCTCTTCAGAAAAACCTATGGAACATGATTCTACTCAAAAAGAATTTTTATAGGACGTAGATTTACATTAGGGAGCATTGCTGTGGACTTAGGAGAAAATATTGTGCAAAGCAACCACAGTAGGGAATTTAAAGTGATTCAATAAAATTATATCCAATTTATAGGAATTGTGGTGGAATCTGTTGTTTATCTACCAATTATGGCCCACGTTATGGCATGCTTCATATTCCCCATGTGCCTCTATCCCTCGTGGTGGGCCGATTTATCATTCTGGCTTTATCATTTCTGTTCCACAGTTGCACTGAGAATTACATTTTAAATAGTAAGTGCTTTCTGCTGCATTTGTTGAAATTGAATTTGAAGGAGTAAATTCTCCTAGTCAGTGACTGAGCAAAGAAGGTATTACTATTCTGTGAGGTATTCAGCAATGTCCTGGGAGCCAAAGAGTTTATTAAGGAAGATATGAGCTCTCCTTGTGAACACACCTCAAAAACAATCTGGTTTGGTCAGTTGAGAAAATACTTTCCCTCGGAATACTTCTACGAAAATGCTCAGTTAGGTATCGAAAGCTTTGCATGCAGTTGTTTCTAACATTCCAAGGACAACATCCACCTCCAGGCTTTAACATTCAGTTAAAGCTTGTGGCATTTCAGCATGCATTTTATAGAAGGTGCCACCCTCCTGTTGTCACCACCCAGCAGCGAAGTAATAGTGTAAGCCTGAATTAGGGCGTGGATGCAATCAGAGCATGAATGCAGCCCACAGATACTCGTAAGGGGAGCAGAAGGTTTTGCCTCATTGGGCTTTCCCAGGGAGGAGCAGAAGGAAGTGCTGGGCTCCTAAGGTTCTGGCAGGTACACGAAGAGGAGGACTGCCAGAAAAGATCATGCTTCTGTGGATGAGAGGCAAAAATGGTCTCTTGCTAATGGTCTTTTAACTGCTTCTTTTTTTTTCTTTTTTCTTTTTCTCCCCAAGTCCCCCCAGTACGTGGTTGTATATTTTAGTTGTGGGTCCTTCTAGTTGTGGCATGTGGGATGCTGCCTCAACATGGCCTGACGAATGGTGCCATGTCCTCGCCCAGGATCTGAATTGTCAAAACCCTGGGCCGCCGAAGCGGAGCACGGGAACTTAACTGCTAGGCCACAGGGCCAGCCCCTCTTATCTGCTTTTATAAGACACGGGTCTAATTAGGCTGTTGTATAGTTTATTGACTTGTTCATTTATTTTTTAGTCCTCTTCAAAGGGAGGAAGGGAAGGGATTTATTATTTGTGAGCTCCCTAATCAACTGTGCTGGAAGCACGTAGCTACATGATCTGATTTGATTATCAGCAAAGTACGTATTAGCCCCTTTTATGCAGGTGTAGAGCTGAGACTTGGGGCCACGAATAAATTTGCCAGTTGTTCCAAGTGCTAGATTTGAACCCGCTCTTCAGTGTTCCAAATCTACTGCTATTTTCCCTAAACTCTGCTGCCTTTGACTTACCCTTATCCATAAAAGTTCAGATTTGGTGAACGATTACATTCTGATCACTCGTGACAGGAAAACGTTTAACTGTTTTGGACCCTGCATTACGCTTTGGGAGGCAATTGACTATTACCACGTCACTCAAGGATCTGGGACGGCTGACTTTAACTAATGTTGTTGTGTTTATCAGCCCCTTCCTAAGTATTTGCGGAATGAACAGATTTCCAACCACCTGGAACACTTTTAATGGTGAAGTGAAAAGATTTTTAAAAATTAGGAAAAGTTTTCTTTTGAAAACTTCCGGATCTGTGACTTTCGGCAGGCTGCTCCCCTAATCCTCAGTTTCTCTGTCATCAAGTCTGGCTGCATGTTAGCATCTCCGGGAGGCCCCAACTGCAGGGATTCAAGTTCAGTTGTTCAGGACGCTGGGCCCAGACACAGCACCTTAGCAAAGCCACCCAGGTGATTCTAATGTGTAGCCAGATGTGAAACCACTGGATCAGAAGGTGTCTGGTGTCTCCTTTGGTGCTAACGGTCTATAATCTTTTGATTCTAAAAGAAGTTCTAGAACAGTGCCTGGTACACAGCAGGTGCTTAGCAAATAAGTCAAGAAAGCCCCAAGCACAGTAACTGCCACAAAGTTCATACACTTTATGCCACCTAAAACCACCGTCAAATACTTCTGGAAATCATTTGCTCTGAATTTTTGGTAAAATTGGTTGACTTATTTTTGAGGACTGTGGTTAACTAATTATACTGAGTGGAACACAGGGGAGTGGTTAATAATATAAGTTCTTGAGACAGGCTGCCTGGGTGCCCCTCTCTTCTTTGCCATTTCCTGCGTCTGTGAACTTGGGAAAGGTATGCAATCTCTCTGTGCCTCACTTTCCTTGTCAGTGCAATAGAAGCAATAATAGTAACTATTGCTGGAATTGTTATGCAGAATGAATCATTGGATGTAGAGCACGTAGACCAGTGTCTACAATACAACAACTCTTACAGAGTGTTAGGATTTATGATGTGATTGTGGTGGTTGTTACTGTTGTTCCTCACACACCCCCTACCCCCTACCCGCCTACCATGCCTACTCCCCCCACCTCCCAGCACCTCTCACCTCCAGGATGCAGAGCTGACCACTGGAAGTCATGAGGACAGCTGATAAAGGTCAGGTGATCCGTTGTAGAAGAGAGAGAAACGCTAAAATAGACACAAAATTTTAAAAGCAGCACCACGTGAAGCTAGTTTACAAAGAAAGCAACCCAAACAGCACAAAATAAAAATTGATGTTTCTGTGTCATTAAAAATGACTGTGTTTTCCATACTCTGTTTACTAAGACAGAGAGGCAAATAAATACTGGAAAGATTTCCATCAAAATAATAAAAATAAAAATATGTCATTCTACACTGACGGAAGAAGCTTCAGATGTCTGGAAAATTTTCTTGTTTAGTGGCAATCTGATTATAGTGAATGAATCAAACTATTGAATATTCTTGAATTTCTGCTCTGTGTGAAGCATGTTCTAGGTACCTAGTAAATATAAAAAATGTTAAGACAGTTTCCTTCTTCATGAGGCTTTTAGTCTAATCAGGGACCCAACATATAAACATAGAGACATTAAGTATGCTGTTTTAGAACAATATAAGAGAAGAAATGTCACAAAGCCAAAGAAGATTGGTGTAAACAAAAATGTAGGGAGG